GTTAAACCCCTGACCTGGATGGCCCAGGCTAGCCCAATCTTGTCGGATCTTGAACACTAAGCAGAGTCATCCCTGGTTAGTACTTGGATGGGAGACCACCAAGGAAGTCCAGGGCTACTGTGCAGGCAATGGCAAACCCCCTCGGAATGTCTCTTGCCCTGAAAACCCTATGGGGTTGCCATTGGTTGGCTGTGACTTGGCGGCACTCTCCACCACCAAACGCCATTTTCGTGTAGTGGTCAAGTGCGCAGTCTCTAATCTGGGAGAACCGGGTTTGATTCCCCATTCCTCCACTTGCAGCTGCTGGATGCCCTCGGGCAAGCCATAGTTCTCTCAGAGGTGTTCTTGAAAAAGAGCAGTTTCTGTCAAGAGCTCTCTGAACCCCACCTACCTCACAGGGTGTCTGTTGTGGGGAGGGGAAGGGAAAGGAGTTTGGAAGCCGCTCTGAGACTCCTTTGGGTAGTGAAGGACGGGGTATAAATCCAATCTCTTCTTCTTCTTCTTCTTCTACCTCACAGGGTGTCTGTTGTGGGGAGGGGAAGGGAAAGGAGTTTGGAAGCCGCTCTGAGACTCCTTTGGGTAGTGAAGGACGGGGTATAAATCCAATCTCTTCTTCTTCTTCTTCTTCTACCTCACAGGGTGTCTGTTGTGGGGAGGGGAAGGGAAAGGAGTTTGGAAGCCGCTCTGAGACTCCTTTGGGTAGTGAAGGACGGGGTATAAATCCAATCTCTTCACTTCACCTCCTCTTCTTCATATATGAGGTGAAGTGAGCTGTGTCTTACAAAAGTTTAAAGGTAAAGGCAAAGGTTTCCTTTGCTCGAAAGGCCGTCAAATCCGACTCTAGGGGGAGGTCCTCATCTCCGTCTCCAAGCCAAAGAGCCAGTACTGTCCAAAGACTTCTCCGTGGTCATGTGGCCAGCATGACTAAACGCCGAGGTGCACGGAATGCTGTTACCTTCCCACCGAAGTGGTACCTATTTATCTACTTGCAGCTTCTTGTTTTCAAACGGCTAGGTTGGCAGGAGCTGGGACCAGAGACGGGAGTTTACACTGGGATAAATGTCAGTCTTGAGCTGCCGCTGGGCTCGTATTTTATTTTTTGCTGCTACAGACTGAGACAACTGGTGGTGGAAAGGGTCATCAAGTCACAGCCGACTCACAGTGACCCCCGTGGGGTTTTCAAGGCAAGGGATGAACTGAGGTGCGGGAAGTGTGTCAGAAGGCAACACCCACCACTCAGGCACCACTGGACTCTTTTGAATTGCTAGCTATTGGGGGGGGACGTGCAGATCTGTCCTCGCAGAGGAGGGAGAACTTGTACCTGAATAAACCTTGGCTTTAAAGGTGCCGCTGGAGTGTTTTGGATTGCTATCTTGGGGGGGGGGGCTCTGCAACTTACCTGGCTGCTTCTTGTTCCTTGTGGCCTGCGGCTGCTGGGAGCAAGGGGTGGGGCTTGTTGCATGTCCCCGCCCCCTGAGCGCTTTACTGCCGGAGCTCCGCTCCTGTGCGCTCCTGCAGGAAATGACCCCTGCTGGCAACCCTATACCCCACTGGAATATTCTGGCACAAATGTCTGGGGATAACTTTGCAAGCCACAAAAAAAAAATGTCTTAAGCAGTATAATCCTAAGAAAATAGACATACTTCTTAAGGACACTGAAGTTAATGGGCTTAGAAAAGTGTAACTGTTTGGGATTTCATAGTGTTTTATGATGAGAAAATGGTAAAGTGCCTCAAACCTGAAGGTGCTGAGTTGGGATTAAGCATCAGGTTCCACTAGCAAGGTTGGTCTCCATTAAGGACTGGTAATAGCAAGCTTTCACACATGCCGAACAAGGCACTTTTAATGCACTTTGCAAATGGTGTTTACTGTGTGAAACAGGAAAACTCACTTGCAAACAATCCCTAAAGTGCATTGAAAATGTATTAAAAGTGGCCCCGACCTGGATAGCCCAGGCAAGCCCGCTCTCATCAGATCTCGGAAGCTAAGCAGGGCCGACCCTGGCAAGTATTTGGATGGGAGACCTCCAAGGAATACCAGGGCTGGGAGGCAGAGGCAGGCTATCAAGCCGCTTCTCTGAACGTCCTCCATGCCCCAGTAGGAGTCACCAGAGGTCGCCATGACTTCCAGCACGTGCAAACACACACACACAAATGCAAAAAGAAAGAAAATGTATCAAAAGTGTATTCAGCATGTGTACACACAATAATAATAACTCCAAAGCTGTATTCTGTTGCAGCAAACTGTGGGATACAGAGTGTTGGACTGGATGGGCCTTTGGCCTGATCCAACATTGGCATCTCTTATGTTCTTATGTTCTTAAATATAAACGAGAATCACGTAGCACTGTAAAGACAAGCAAGTGTTTATCACTGAGAATGTGTTCCATGAAAGTTTATGCTACAAGTAAAAGCTGTTTTTTTAAAAGCAGGCAATGACAAACCACTTCCGGCTCCGGTCACACGGACCGGAAAATGCGGGGGGGAGGCGTGGCTAATTGCCCCGGAGGAAAATAAAGCGCGGCAGCCCGATCAGAAGTCCTTTGGAGGTCCCGTGGGCAGGCGTCAGGTGCAGATCAGACGGCTAGTCCGCAGCGCGGCAAAGAAGCAGAACGGCACATTCAAACTGGCACTCGCGCCACGTGGCTCCTGTGGCAAACACCGCTTCCTGTTTGTGCGCATGCTCCGTTGGGTGCTTGTGCGCATCCTGTGGGGACTTGGGAAAAAACCCCTTCTTTGCGACGTAGGGCTACCAAGTCGCCCCGGGGGGCGCGGAAACCCCCGCCCCAGAGGCCCGTTTCCCGACGCTGGGGAATCGGGCCCCAGGGGGAACCCCGCCCCGGCGTGCGCATCACCAGGAAGGGACGCTATGACACCGGGTAGGGTTGCCAAATGTGCCCGGGGGGCGGGGAATCCCCCGCTTCGGAGCCCCAATTTCCCGCCCGGCGGAATCAAGCCCGGGGGAACCCTGCCCCGGAATGTGACGCTGCCACGTTGCTGACATTGGGGGCGTGGCTGAGCTCGTCAGGGGGAAACCATATGTTCCCCCCCCGACGAGCTCGGCCACGCCCCCAACGTCAGACGTCACTTCCGGTGACGTCGTGGCAGCCTAGGGATCCCAAGTCCCCCCGCGGGGCGGGGAAACCCCCGCCCCAGAGGCCCATTCCCCAGCGGCGCTGGATAGGGCCCCGGGGGGAACTCCTCCCCGACGTGCGCGTCACCTGGAAGTGACAGGAGGATGCTGGGCACGCTGGGGGGCGGGGCCACAGCCATACAAGGGAACACTCTATGGTTTTCCCTTGTATGGTTGTGTCCCCGCCCCCAGCGTGCCCGACGGCATAACGTCACTTCCTAGTGACGTGCATGCGGCGCGCGCATGCACCGGGAACCACCCGGGAGTTCCACGCGGAGGAGGTAAGTGCCATTTGGCAACCCTATTGCGACGGGACATGGGCGAGCCCCAGATGCCATGGAAGTCCACCGGAAACGCGGTCAGACGCCCGCCCTTGCCCTGCAGTTTCCGGAAACTAGTACCTCGGAGGTACTAGTTTTTAACTCTGCACCTTCGGCGGGGAGCCACGGGTTCGCCACGGGAGCACTGCGCTTCCCAGATGTTGAGGTGAGATCACGCCCGGAAAATCCGCGGGACTCCCGTGCCTCTCCCATGGCAACTTTGCCGTGTGACCGGGGCCTCTGTTCAGCTCTTGCCTAGAGCCAGTGTGGTGTGATGGTTAAGGGTTGGATGAGTATCTGGGACCCGGGTCTGAATCCCGTGTCATGGAGGCTTGCTGAGTGACCTTGAATAAAACTTTGTTGGTCTTAAAGGTGCCACTGGACTCCAGCTTTGTTCTGCTGCTGCAGACCAACATGGCCACCCCGCCTGAATCTGTCTTGGCCAATCACACTCTTTCAGCCTACCTCTTAGGGTTGTGGTGAGGATAAAATGGAAGAGAAAAGAATGCTGTGAACCACCTTGGGTCCCCGTTGGGGTACAAATGAAGTAAGTCAATAAATAAATATAAATACAAGGTCATCATAAGTCTGCTGCAGCATGACAGCACTTTCCACCAGTTTTTGGATAATTTTTAATAATACACCTTTTAATAATTAGGCAGTTTAATTTTTAAGAATTCATGAAATGAGGTGAGCTCTGCCTCATGGAAGCTTTTGCTGAAACATATGATGTTCCTCTCAAAGGGGCCATTGCTTTAGAGAAACTTGAACATGAATCCCAGTTCATCAGCTTAGGGGCGTGTTTTCATTTCCCCGCTGTAAGACCCAGATACAGCACACAAGATGGGCAGCCGTGTTAGTCTGTCTGTAGCAGCAGTGGTCGTGGTGGCTCAGAGGTTAAGACAGTGAGCTGCAGATCAGAAGGTCTGTAGCTTGGCGGTTTGAGACCCGAGTGCCGCGTGACAGAGTGAGCTCCCGTCTCTGACCCCAGCTCCTGCCAACCTAGCAGTTTGAAAGCAAGAAATTGCAAGTACATAAACAGGTACAGCTTCGCTGGGAAGGTAACAGCGTTCTGTGTGCCTTGGTGTTTAACCATGCCGGCCACATGACCATGGAAATAGCTTCGGACAGTGCTGGCTTTTCGGCTTGGAAACGGAGATGAGCACCGCCCCCTAGAGTTGGATTCGACTGGCTTTCGAGCAAGGGCAACCTTTACCTAGCAGCAGAAAAGAGCAAGAGTCCAGTAGCATCTTGAAGACTAACAACATTTCCCTGCTACAATTTTTGTTCATCTTTAAGGTGCTACTGGACTCTTGCTCTTTTCTACTGCTACAGCACACAGTTACTGCGGTCTCAACCCACTGGAATAAATGGGTTTAGAGCCTGAAATAACTCTGCATTGGGTTGTTCCTGTCACTCGCTCGGCTGTTATGCCTTATCAAAAGACAGAACACTACACGAGCTCCCTTACCGCATTTCCTCAGGCGCGGAACCTTTCTTTCTCGGCTCCGTGTTCTATCCGGGGACCATTTGCGAACGGACAGCTGTCCTTTCCTCGCGGACAAGATGGCGGCGTCCATGATGAGATGCTGTCTGAGAGCAGGTAAACCCTGGAGAGGAGGAAGAACGAGGAATCGTAGGGCCATAACCAAACTGGAAGCTTTTCTGGGCCCTCGCCCACTCCCTAGTCTATATATACAGGAGTGCGTTGAATATAGTGTGTGGGGGAGTTGGTTCCAAGTAAGTAGACGCGGGTTGTCGGCGTCTCGACTCGCTTGTGGACGAGAAGTGTCCTTCGCCGCTCCCGCCCTTGTGTAATGCCACGATAGGTAGAAGACCGGCCTTTGAATATCCCTGATCTAGAGGGATAGCCGTGAGAGTCTGTTGCAGGACAAATAAAAAGAAGTCTAGGGGCACCTTAAAAGTCTAGGAAGGTTTTAGTCTAGCCTTTTCTGGGCTGAAGCCCCCTTCTTCAGACGCAGTGAGTGCGGTCTCCTTATGGTATTATTCTGCCCCCTACATAAGATGATTGCATACTGAGAGTCCATTCGTTGCATGATCTGAAGAAGTGAGCTCCAGTCTATAAAAGCAGGTGCAGAAATGAAATTGTGTTAGTCCTTAAGATGCTGCTAAAGTCCTTTTTCACTGCCTTTCCGTGATAGGATACAGAGAAAGGTATGTTTTGCCTTGAAATGCTATTTAGTTTTCCTTCTCCGAGGACAATTGAGTTAAACAAAAATATTTTAAAATGTTTCTTTTGTTTTTCTGATGAAATGCATCTAATGAAGTGAGCTCTGACTTGCAGAAGCTTCTGCTGGAATTAATGTTGTTAGCCTTTAAGATTCTTCTTTCTTTTTGCTATTCCTCAAGTGTTTCTGGAATTCCTCCACCCACCCAGGGGGCTCAGTGTGTGGCTTCTGTTAAAAGAGCAAAAATGGAGCTGTTTGTGGTCCAGTGGGCTATTATAGGTTGAGATTGTTAGTGTCTCTTTGATGGAAGAAGTCTTACACACTGTCATTGTGCAAAAACAAAGACCAAAACCTTATTGGTTTAAACAGCATATATTATATGCACACTTCAAAAAAAAAATGTGTATTGATTAACTGCTGCTTCATTTTCTCTTGCATGTGTATAAAATGGTTGAAAAGTAGAGTGCATATTTAAGCCAGACTATGGATTTTGCAGTAAATATGAGTTGACTTTAAAATGTTTCTATTACAAATAGACTAGAAGTGAAACATGAATAAAGAGCTCTTTATTAAAGGAGAATGACTGGAAAATAAGATGCCGCCTAATTTCTCCAAAAGATGGGAAAACTTAACAAATCTGTAGAATAATTAGAACTGTAGGACATTTTAGAGGGCATTAATTTATAGAGTCACCGTAAGTTGTAAGAGACTTGATGCTCCTTTGAGTCAAGAGCCTGGAAGGCAGCCTTTAAATTGAGACTGAAAGTTCTTTATATGACACCTAATGCTCAAGGAGGTCTTCTTTATCTTTTAAAAGGGGATAATTATAAATGTACGTGGGCAAAACATATAGATAACAAGCTGGAGTGGATTGGTCTCGCCCCTACGGGGCTTAATAATTTAAATTATCAAGAAGCGCTAAATTTGATGAGATTGAGGGTGACAAACATTGATCGACTCAGCACTTCAATTCGTGCTAGGCGAGTATGCTCCAACTCTGCCTTAGGGATTGTTCCACCTAAGAAAACTCCCTCATATATGAGCTTCCTTACATCCCCCAGATCTAGATATGTCTTCACGCTTGCAAGGTTGAATGTTTTTCCAACTGTAGAGCTAAGTGGCCGTTTTGCTAAAATACAGTACTCAAATAGATTGTGTAATTGTGGATCAGGTGCAATAGAGACCTTAGATCATCTTATGTTATTTTGCCACCAATGGATTGACCCCAGATCCTGCTGGATTACTCCTATTTTACAAAGATATCACCTCCCTATGGAACCCTGGGTGATAACCATACTATTAGCTGATGAGGACCCTGAAACGACTCGCTTGGTGGCAAAATATCTTTCAATAGTGCTATCTTTAAAGCGGCTTTGAAATGTTATGAGTACCTTTTGTATACAATTTTAAAATTTTAAAACTAATTTCCATAATATCATGGGATTTTATAGAATTCACTGAAGTTTATAAAATGTGGTCTGATGTTACTGATTGAGAGCATGTTTACTAGCTTTTATTGTAAAGGCGTTCTGTCTAAATTTCTTATAATTTTATGTAATGCATTTTATACTTGTTGTTTGCATGTTTGGCTTAAGACCTCGGGTCAATGAAGCTAATAAATGAAATGGAGAGACTTGATGGCACTTAACACAGAGAGAGAGAATAATTAGAAGTATATGAGCCTCTGCCTTCTGTTTGAGTGCAGCCCAGAGACAGTTTTACCACCTTAATGAAGAATTAGATTGTAAACAAAATTAACAGGAAGCAAGTCCAATGGATTTAAGTAGAATTTACTTTAAAATATATGTGCTGAGGGATCTCATTTTTTGTACCAGTGCCCCATTTCACAAAACATTTCTGGAACTATAGATTGAAGAGCTCCATTACCAAGCATCTGGGAGTGCGATTCTAAACCGAGTTACATTCTTTTAAGTCCTTCAAAGTCAACGGGCTTAGAAGAGTGTAATTCTGTTTAGGATTGCATTGTTGGTTTCCGCGTTGCTTCTTCTGGTCTGGTGGCAGAAGCATTTTCTCTCTCTCTTTTTCCTTCTCACAGTTTCCGTTCAGTGTCCTAGCCCTATTTTCACCAGAATTGGTAAACACTCTGCAGTGGTACCTGCTTTTGCTAACTTACTGATTTCTAATAGACCCTATGCTTCAAAGTAAGTAAATACCTTTTATTGCTTTGTTTAGTTAATAAAACAGTTTTTTAAAGAATATATTTTTATCCTGCTTTTTCTGCCAAAATTGTCTTCTGAAGTTGCTGACAAAAGTCCAAAACCCGTGCAAATGACAAATGCCCTTTGGAGAACAGATCCTTAGCTGCAGCCAGAGACAATGGAGGGGTGTCCAGATGTTTCCTGCCTCCTGATATCCTCATCAATAGTGATTAGAGAGAGGAGGATGCTGTAAGTGGGATCTGGATCCAAGTAGGATAGGTGCTTTTAAAATGTTTTTTTAAAAATTCATGGCATAATTAGTAGAAATGTTCAGGGCTCAGCTAAGCATGTCTCTAGTAGCAGGGAGTGTGTTCAGACACACAATCTGCTACTGGATAATCATTGAGTGATTGAGACAAACAGCACCGGCATATTTCAGATTCTTGGGTTATGTCATCCTTATTCTGGTTCACTGTACACTTGAGGGGGTGGGGTTGAAGATTGATGGAGAGCATTTGTTTGCATCCTGCTTGAGTAATTTGTGGGAACTCGTGGGTGTTTGTACCTCACCAGAAACCAAATTAATGTCAGTGATTTAACAGACTGCGTTCCCAGCTTGAAACTGGCTCACTCTGTTTGGTGGAAAGGGTAATTAAGCCTTGGCTTCAAGTATATGCAATGAAGCTCCATAGGCCTGTAAAGAAAACTTGTTATCTCATCAGGTTGAATCTTGATGGTAACCAAATCAGTTTTCACGCATGCCATGACTGCCATTTTATTGCTTTTTGAGTATTCTACTAGTTTGGGGGGGGGGGGTTAAAGAGAGAGGGCAATGGAGATGCTGATGATTGGACCAGGATTGTGGAGATCGTAATTCTTACATTGCCATGAATTGGGTGATCTTGGGCCAGTCACATTCCTCTGGCTAACCTACCTCACAGGGGTGATGTGAGGTCATAAAAGGGGAAAGGAGAAGTGTGCATGCTGTCCTGAGCTCCTTGGAGGAAGGCTAGGATTAAAAGCCTACTAGGTAGGCCGCGGTGGCTCACAGATTAAGACGCTAAACTGCAGACCGGAAGGTTGGTAGCTCGGCAGTTCGAGACCTGAGTGCCACATGACGGAGTGAGCTCCCGTCTCTGTCCCCAGCTCCTGCCCACCTAGCAGTTCGAAAGCAAGAAATTGCAAGTAGATAAAGAGGTACCGCTTCGGTGGAAAGGTAACAGTGTTCCATGTGCCTCAGTGTTTAGTCATGCTGGCCACATGACCACGGAGAAGTCTTCGGGCAGCGCTGGCTCTTCGGCTTGAAAACGGAGACGAGCACTGCCCCCTAGAGTTCAATTAGACTGGCTTTACCTTTACTTTAGCTAGACAGTGGGCTTTATTTGCTTGGGATTCCTTCTCAGAACGTCCTATGGAAAAGAAGAGCACTGTAATTCTCTTGAGCAGCATCTGTTCATTCAAGGGCAGGCTGTGCAAGAGAGCTTGCTGGTGGATTGTGCCTAGTCTGCACAGTTCTTGATTTTAAGCTGTGTTCAGATTGGGTTGCCATGCACAGTCAATTGCTGTTATACAAAAGAGCTGGAGGTGGTGAGAGTCACAATTTTTGCTTCCAAGTGCACATATTCTTCCTATCCTGTGACTATGTAAAGGTGCAAATGTGTGACTGGACCAAAGTCATTCAGCAAGTTTAACTGCCACAGGAGGTGGCGGCGGCTACAAGCATGGATGGCTTCAAGAGGGGATTGGATAAACATATGGAGCAGAGGTCCATCAGTCCATCAGTCCATCAGTGGCTATTAGCCACAAGGTATAGATAGGGAGCTCACTCCATCATGCGGCACCCGGGTCTCGAACTGCTGAACTACTGACCTTCCACAGTCTTAACCACTTGAGCCACCGCACCCCACTGTGGTACTCGTGGGCTGTGTGGCTGCTGTCCTAGAGGCCCTTTCCTAGCACCTACCAGATGTTTTCAGAAAGTGGGTGGGGCTGGGTGGGGTACTTGTCCAACAGGGCTTGTGACTGGTCACTGGAGATCTGGTTGGCTGGGCAGATTAAAACAATGTTTCAGCAGCTGCTGAGAGCCAATTTGGTGTAGCAGTTAAGAGCACGGACTCTAATCCGGGAGAACCGGGTTTGATTCCCCACTCCTCCACATGCAGCTGCTGGGTGACCTTGGGCAAGCCACAGTTCTCTCAGAGCTGTTCTCTCAAGAGCAATTCTCAGTCAGAGCTCTCTCAGCCCCACCTACCTCACAGGCTGTCTGTTGTCGAGAGGGGAAGAGAAGGAGATTGTAAGCCATTCTGAGACTCTGAGCAAAGAGCGGGGTACAAATCCAATCTCCTCTTCTTTTCTTCTCTCTCGCTCAGTGTGGTTTTAAAAGTTACTCCTCCGCCCCTTGAACTTGGGCTTCCTCCGTATGTGTGGCTTCCCCTGCTCTGGCAGCCATTTTGGGGTTGCACCCACCACCCTGTGTCAGAATTCGTATAGGCTCAGAAGGGTTGGGGACCCCTGGCTTAGAGTATTGGGCTAGTATCTGGAAGACTTGGGTTCAAATCTCATTGAGCTGTGAAGCTCACAGGGTCACCTTAGACCAGTCACACACTCTCAGCCTGGCCCGCCTGGCAGGGTTGTTGTGGTCACTGTTGTGAGGGAAGGGCGAGACATGTTTGCAGCCCTGAGCTCCATGGGAGAAGGACATGCTAAAAAAAAAAAGATAAATCGAAGAGGAGAAGAAGAGATTGCATTTATACCCCTCTCTTCACTACCCGTCAGAGCAGCTTACAATCTCCTTTCCCTTCCTCTCTGCACAACAGACACCCTGTGGGGTAGGTGGGCCAGAGAGAGCTCTTTTGAGAACTGCTCGTGAGAGAACAGCTCTAAGAGAACTTGTAACTGACCCAAGGTCACCCCAGCAGCTGTATGTGGAGGAGTGGGGAATCAAACCCGGTTCTCCCAAATTAGAGTCTGCTCCCCCAACCACTAACCCAAACTGGCTCTCATCATGCTTGTGTTATTTTACCTTGCCAGTCTACGCAGAGCTAGGCCGCTCCTTCTATCACATCTTTTTTTTTTAAAAAAAAGGAAACAGTCCAGTAAAACAAAAGCCAAAAAGAAAACTGCTGTACCAGAGCTGCTCTATGAAAAGAAACGTTACAAACCAGCCTTGCCGATTGGGCCGACAGATGACGTCTATTTGACTTGGTGCTACCAGAGACCCGTTTATGAAGCAGAAGTGGCTGTAGACATGCTGAAGAAGTTTCAGGAACTGGACTTCACTTCCCCCAGGCAGTTTGTGTATGCTGACATCACCCTGGATATGTCAATGGACAAGAAGGTACACCAGAGAGAGTTTCTTGTGTGTGTGTGGATGTCAGACTTCTTAAATTGCTTCCTAACATAATTCCCTGACATTTCCCCTAACACTGAGGGCTGATTCTCAGGTTACCAACTCTCCGCTGTCTACTGCGAGGACTTATGGCAGACACCAAGGACTTTGCAATGTGTGAGTTGGCCCTCAAAGTGAGTTTAGGTAGCCCTGACCCTGGATCACCCAGGCGAGCGTGATCTCGTCAGATCTCAGAAGCTAAGCAGGGCCGACCCTGGCAAGTACTTGGAAGGGAGACCTCCAAGGAATACCAGGGCTGGGACGCAAAGGCATGTTATCAAGCCACCTCTCTGAAATGTCCTCGCCCAGAGGTGTTGAGCTCATATGTTACAAGGGCCAGATCTGACATAAATAGAACCTTGTTGGGCCAGGCCATGTGTGCCATAAAACGTAATGCCCAGGTACTGGAGATAGAAACTTCAGAAAGGACAGCTGCTTGTAAGCTCCAAGTTGGTGTATCCTCACTGCAAGGCTCTGTGGGCTGGGAGGGGGGTGCAGAGGAAAACCCACGTAGGCAGACAATGAGGGGCAGTAGTGCAGTGCTGGGCAGATGCCCCCAACAATGCTTGACTGCTGCAGACAAGGTTGTTCTGTCTGGCAGAAGCCACAATGGAATGGCTCCGCCCACTCCCCCCCAGCACTCCCTCCCTTGCATCAGTTGCTCGCGGGCCGCATAAGAGCCCTGGACGGGCCAGATCTGGCCCCTGGGCCTTATGCTTGACACCCCTGTCCTAGCCCCACTAGGGGTCACTAGAAGTCACCATGACTTCCAGGCTCACAAGCACATATGCACACACACCAAATACGCAAAAAAGGTGAGTTTATATAACCAGGGCACCTACAATTAATTTCAGAGATGATTTGTTCGAGGATGTGGCCCTGAGAGGGATTTCCAGATCACATAGTTTCCTTGACACTGTATCTCTCGTGTTTGCATTAAGTCTGAAATTCTGCCCATCTTTGTTCTTGGTCACTGTGGAAACCTTTGTCAAGATGCTAAACTCTTTGTAATGTAATTGTTGCCACAGTAAATAACCTGAGTGGTTTTTAAAAAAAAACAACTCGTTCTCCTTTCAGAAACCAGTGGAGCCATTCACCGCTACTGTTCTTCTGCCACACTGTTTTCTGGATAACACCCACAAGGTTCTGGTGTTCACAGAGGTGAGTCGCTACCTGCAGTTTCAACACTTTCTTCTGCCCCGTGTGTGTTAACGTTGTCGGCGAGTTAAGACTGAACTTAAAAATGACTCTGGGACTCTCTCCCTAATGAATCCAGCTATCTCACCAAGTATAAACAACAGCAGATGTGACATCTCTCGGTTTTGTCAAGCAGACTACAACTCAACATTGAGTGGTGTGTCATTGTTTTATTACGGATGCAACTCTGTCAGTGTCCGTGATACTTTGGTCCTGTTCATACGAGCCGTTTGGGCCGGGAGAAGGACGGATCAGGGCCGGAGCAAACAGGCGCGATCCCACAGCAACATCTGGGGAACGTCTTGCTTCCGTCTCCGATCCGGCCCATCCCGCCCATACAGCGCAGCAAAAAAGAACCACCTCCCTAGGTGGTTCTTTCGGATGGGCAGCGGCAAGTGCGGCCGTGGGATCGCCGGCGCGTCCTTGCGCCATCACATCCCCGGCTCCTGGCCGAACTGCGCATGTGTGAGCATGCGCAGTTCGCCAGGCTCCCCTTCGCACCATCGCATTCTCCCCAGCATCTGATCGTGCCGGGGAGCGATGCGCTGCGGCTGAGGGGATCCGTGGGATCCCTCCGCGGCGTGTCAAGTTTGGTGTGGCTCTGCTTAGCCGCGTTCCAGCCGTCCCGTGTGGCAGGGACCTTGGTAGACTAACAAGCAGAAGACAGGCTTTGCCCCCTTATAGCTCACAATCAAAATGTTAGATGGGGAAGACTGGAGAGGAGAAAAGGGACTGGAATAATGGGGAAGGACCAGTTGTTCAAATTTGTTCAAAGCTACTATCCGTGTTTTGGTTGCGGATTAAGTTCTGGTCACCACACCTCAAAAAGGATATTATAGCGCTGGAAAAAGTGCAGAAAAGGGTAACTAGAATGATAAAAGGGTTGGAACACTTTCCCTGTGAAGAAAGGTTAAAGCGCTTGGGGCTCTTTAGCTTGGAGAAACGACAGCTGAGGGGTGACATGATTGAGGTTTACAAGATTATGCATGGGATAGAGCAGGTCGAGAAAGAAGTACTTTTCTCTCTTTCTCACAATACAACACCTGGTGGGCACTCAATGAAATTGCTGAGCGGTCGGGTTAGAACGGATAAAAGGAAGTCCTTCTTCACCCAAAGAGTGATGAACACATGGAATTCACTGCCACAGGAGGTGGTGGCTGCTACAAGCATGGATGGTTTCAAGAGGGAACTGGATAAGCATATGGAGCAGAGGTCCATCAGTGACTATTAGCCACAAGGTATAGATAGGAACTCTCAGGCTGGGGCAAGGGATGCTCTGTATTCTTGGTGCTTGGGGGGGGGGAGCAACAGTGGTAGGGCTCCTGGAGTTCTGGCCCTACTGGTGGACCTCCTGATGGCACCTGGTATTTTTGGCCACTGTGTGACAGAGTGTTGGACTGGATGGGCCATTGGCCTCATCCAACATTGGCTTCCCTTATGTTCTTAAGACTTGAGGAGTGACGTGTTGGATCAGAACCTTCATGGAACAGGTGAACTGTGACTTGGGGTTCAAAAGAAGGCACGGAGGGAGGGCACCATGTAAGACAGTTTCAGATGGTGGCCATGCAGGAGAAGAGCTAGAATCAAGTCCAGCAGCACCTTAGAAACCAACAAGATTTTGGGGGCGCAGGCTTTTGAGAGTCAAAGCTCTGGAAAAGTTACCTGTCGAAGGGAGCTTTGACTGTCAAAAACTTGTCCCCCGAAATCTTGTTGGTCTCTAAGGTGCCGGCTGGAGTTGAGTCTGGCACCCTGTAAATTGTTCCGAGGTCCAGACAGCAATTGAGGGATAAGGGACCAGAAATATTTTTTGAAGTCATTTTTAAGTTAGCCGCTGGACTTGCCTTGGCCCTCTTTCTTAAACGCATGATGCATTCCCATGAAGGTGCCTTATACTGAATCAGACAATCGGTCTGTTAAGGTCAGTGTTGTCTACTCAGACGGGCAGCAGATCTCCAGGATCTCAGGCAGAGGTCCTTTGTATCGCCTGTCCCCTGATCCTCTTTTTAACTGGAGATGCCGGGGATTGAACCTGAGGCCTTCCGCATGCCAAGCAGATGCTCCACCACTGAACCACGGCTTGTCCCCAGGTATGATATATTTGAAAAGCCAGCTCAGTTCTGTCACTCCACCCTTTGAGGCTAAGTCTTTAAAATCATTGGAGGCCCTGCTGGATGGGAGGAAGAGAAATTTCCTGTCTGCAGTCGCAACTGATGCAGTCAATGTGGGAGTAGAGGAAAGCCTACATGTCAGTTTTGTTATTCTCCCCCCCCCCCTTTTGATTTCTGTGATTTCTCTAGCAGTCAGGTAGTAAAAACAAAGTAAAGGTAAAGGTTCCCTTGCTCGAAAGCCAGTCGAATCCGACTATAGGGTTGCGGTGCTCATCTCCGTTTCAAAGCTGAAGAGCCAGCGCTGTCCGAAGACGTTTCCGTGGTCATGTGGCCGGCATGACTAAACACCAAGGCGCATGGAACGCTGTTACCTTCCCACCTAAGTGGTACCTATTTATCTACTTGCAATTTCTTGCTTTCGAACTGCTAGGTTGGCAGGAGCTGGAACTAGAGACGGGAGCTCACTCCATCATGCGGCACCCGGGTCTCGAACTGCTGAACTACTGACCTTCCACAGTCTGCAGTTCAGCGTCTTAACCACTTGAGCCACTGCAGCTCCTAGTCAGGTAGACATTAGGATAATAAAGCAATCTTTATATTTGCTATTATTTTGGGCTGCAGAGTATCTTTTTAATGCAGATTTGTGATAATTTCTAGCAAAGAAAATGCATTTTGGTTACTTCTTTGATCAGTGAGTATCTGCATCTGCTAGTGACTGGACGGTTGCGGTGAGGTTTGAAGCAGAGACTTTCCAGATAACACACTACTGGTGTGCAACAGATAAAAATATGGCATTTTTTCAGATCCAAATGTCAGGGAGTGTGGAATTAATGGTATTCCTGGTTACTCAGGTCCCAAATACCAGTTTGGTATCTGGATTTGTTCTTGTTTTTTTTGTTTGTTTTTTGAGGGTGGGTTCCTGATATTATTCAGGTCCATTATTCCCAATGGAGGATCTTTTGAGAGGGGATGTTTTTCCTGCAAAATGACACCAAAATCATAAGAACATAAGAAGAGCCCTGCTGGATCAGACCAGTGGCCCATCTAGTCTAGCATTCTGTCTCACACAATGGCCAGCCAGTTCCTCCAGAGAGCCAACAAGAGGGCATAGAGGCTGAAGCCTTCCCCTGATGTTGCCTCCTGGCTCCAGGATTCAGAGGTTTAGTGCCTCTGAATGTGGAGGTTCCCCTCAGCCATTGATAGACTTATCCTCAGTGAATCTATCTAATCCCCTTTTAAAGCTGTTTATTCCTGTCGTCATCATCACTACATCCTCTGACAGCCAATTCCACATTTTAATCACTCTGTGTAAAGTAGTATTTCCTTTTGTCCACCCTGAATCTATTTCCCATCACGACAGAGCTGATGCTCCCTGTCTCCTAAGGAATCCCCCAAGTTTCAAGGGAATTGGACCAAGAGATCCAATTCTGTGGGCCCCTGAATAAGGTGCCCTCAGCCATCCTCCATTGTTTCCTATGGGGGGGTGATTACATGTTTTCTCCAGGGCAAGGAGTCGTCAAAGACACAGCAGCAAGCAAAGCAACCATGGGACAAAAGCCTCTGGATGCAAACAGCTAATGCAGAACCAGCGAATCCCAGCAGCCCCATGGGTCAGTGCAGCAAGCCTAACACAGCCAATGTCAAACTAGAGAATGCAAGCCAAATCAACTTATCAGGGAACGCCGTTGCAACTTGCAAGCCCAGCAAATGTCAAATCAGAGAAGTCAAGCCAATGTCAAAGCAGAGAATCCGGCACGAACCAACTTAAGCGAGGGACACAGTGTCGCAAGACCAACAGAACCCATTTCAGACAAACAGAATCCAAGCCAAACCAACCTGGCAAGCAAATACCAAGACCCGGAAAGAAAATGCTGACACAGACACACTGTCAGATTAAAGAACAACATTCCTGGAAGCCTTAAAATGCTGGCCCTGAGTACTCCTGAATATTTCTGGGATTTTTCAGGACCCGTTTATTAGTATCCCAGACAATCCCAGATACTGTCTGGATCCACAAATATACCAAAAAAAATACCGATGAGATATTGTTTGGGTATCTAATTTGACCAGAAATATCCAAACATACATCCCGATTACACAGGCCACAAAGCTACACAAACTGTGCAATCCTACATTTAGACCCTTTTGAGCCTATTGTTTTCAGTTAAAGGGTGTATCTCTTAGGATTGTGCTGTACGCACCAGTGAGGCTGCAATCAGTAGCGTGCTTACTCGAGAGTATCTTCTATGGAACTGGTGAGCTGGCAAGCACAAAATTGGCCTTGTGCATTCAGTCGCATGATCCAGTGTTCCCTCTAAGCTGAGTTAGTGTGAGCTAATTCACAGTTGTTTAGCCTCCAGCTCACACATTTTTCTCTTAGCTCAGGGATGGCTCCGGAGCAAACTAATGTATGCAGTAGCCAAGTTGCTCGCTCATGACTTTAATGCCAGTAGCTCACAAAAGTAGAATTTTTGCTCACAAGACTCCACAGCTTAGAGGGAGCATTGGCGACTTGCACCATGTCCCACATCCTCTCCAGCAATTATAAGTTAGGTTTGATTCAGGACAATGAAGACAGGACCATGATCTACGGCTGTGGTTCCCAACTTTTCGGTACGGTGACCCACAAGTCCAAATTTACTTGGTCTGGTGACCCATCCAAGGTTGGCCCAAGATTTTTTGGCACCCTAGGCAGACTGTGACCTTGGCACCAGTGTTCCCTCTAAGCTGAGTTAGTGTGAGCTCGCTCACAGTTTTTTAGCCTCCGGCTCACAGATTTTTGTCTTAGCTCAGGAAGGAGAGCTCCAGAGCAGACTAATTTCTGCAGCAGCCAAATCGCTGGCTCACAACTTTAATGGCCAGTTGCTCACAAAGTAGAATTTTTGCTCACAAGACTCACAGCTTAAAGGGAGCATTGCTTGGCACCCATCCAGTTCAGCATTCCGTTTTCTACAGTGCCTAACCAGTTGTTTTTGAGAAACCAATAAACATCACACAAAGGGGCACAGCTGCTCCCACTATGAACCCCAAGCAAGTGGCATTCCGACATATGCAGCCTTTGCATATGGAGGTTACATTCCAGCCTTTTACCACCCTCTCCTTCTCCATTACTCCTTCCAACTCCCCCCCCCAGTCTAAGAAGAAGATACTGAATTTTTACCTCTCCCTTCACTACCCAAAGGTGTCTCAGAGCGGCTTACAAACTCCTTTCCCTTCCCCTCCCCACAACAGACACCCTGCGAGGTAGGTGGCGCTGAGAGAGCTCAGACAGAAACTGCTCTTTTTCAAGGACAACTCTTATCAGAACTGTGGCTTGCCCAAGGTCATCCAGCCAGGTGCAAGTGGAGGAGTGGGGAATCAAACCTGGTTCTCCCAGATTAGAGTCCGCGCACTTAACCACTACACCAAACTGGCTCTGAGAAGTTCACTCTCGTAACTGTAAGCATGCTGACCCCCTGTCTCTTAGGAGGGTCGTTTCAACCATCAGAGGTCCTCATAGGGGTACCCCAGGAGACTATATACCAGGCAGCTTGATATAAGTGGACACAACAATGGACGCCAGGACTGGCAGGCCCCATAACCATGCCTAGCCAGTGTCCCTGGGAAGCACATGAGACCTTGTTCTGACAGCTGTGACTCTCCCTCCACCCTGCGGACATCTGCATACTCTGGACAATGGACTTGCCTCGCCTCAGCCTTCCTCCCCACATGTCCTTCATAATGAAAAGTCCTGACTTCTACCCCTTTCCCACATCCCAAACCTAGGTGGTTTGTCAAGCAGTATCATTTCTGTTTTGATTAGTTTAAATTAGCAACCCTGACTGTTCCCTGGAAGGCCAGAGACTGAAGCTGAAGCTCAGATACTTTGGCCACCAAATGAGAAGGGAGCACTCCCTGGAGAAGACCCTGATGCTGGGAAAGACTGGAGGTAACAGAAGAAGGGGACGGCAAAGGATGAGATGGTTGGACAATGTCATCCACGCAACAAAGATGAAATTAAGCAAACTCCGGAGCACGACGGAAGACAGGAGGGCCTGGCGTGATGTGGTCAGTGGGGTCGCGAAGAGTCAGACTCGACTGTGTGACTGAACAACAACAACAACAAAGCTTTCAGCCACCAGAGAAGTAATCAGGAACCCAACCCAAATTGTACTTTGCATCCAGAAGAGAATCTCTGGTCTCTTTTGTCCACTCCTGGGAACTCTGTACAGCGTTTCCAAACTACATTGTTTTATCCCTGATTAATCTTATCAATGCTTCGTTCTGAGGGACCCTTTGCATTAGCAAGCCCTCTGGACAAGTTTTTGGATATAACTAGCCCAGCACAACTCCATTGCAGTGTGTCTGCCCTGAGCGCCTACTGGCAGGGCACCCCCAAATTTTGTTTGGGTCACTTTCCATGCTCACAGTCCACGGACTCCTGATCTCCTGGACAGGCAATGTATAATTCCTCCAACATCCTGCTATTATTCTTGCTCACCTCTGCACTTCCATTACTTGTGTGCATGTTTTAACGTGTGTTTTATTTCTGTATGTGTGCATTTTATTAGGATTTTTTCTTTTAATAAAAACAACCCTTTTGGTTAAGTAACGGATGGGTCATTGAGAGCTCTCTTCAGGGGTTGTTTTGCAGAAAAAGAGCTTGGGGAACTCATTAGCATAACTCATTAGCATATGCCACACCCCCTGACATCACCGGAAGTGTGTCATAAGGCCACACACCCTGACATCACCGGAAGTGTGTCATAAGGCCACACACCCCGCCCCCAACAGTCTCGGCCGGCGGCGGCCTTGCAGCTCCACTGCCGAGCCCCATGAGGGGCCCGGCGGTGGACCTGCAAGGCCGGCGGGAGTGCAAGGAAGCCCCGCGAAGGCCCTCCCTGGCCCCAGGCAGGCAGGGGTGGGGAGAGGCAGGGAGGAAGCAACTTACCCTCCCTCTTCTCCTGCCTCCTCCTGGCTGAATGAGGGCAGGAAGCGGGGCGGCCGGAAGCAGGGGGCGGGGCTTCGTCATGTGCCCCGCCCCCCGTACCTCACCCGGGGGAACTGCGATTCCCCGCGATCCCCCCCGAAATGACCTCTGGCTCTCTTAAAGGGAAAGATCCTCATAGACATAGGTAGGAGGTCCTTGCCAATACCCCACCTCTCACTGAGGCTGCCATTTAGTGATATTCCCCCAGAAACTGAAGGCAGCAATTCAGCTTCTTAAAATCTATGCTGGTAGGGCTAACAGTAACCATCAGGACACGTTTTATGTGATCAACATGTATATGCAGTGAAGAAGAAGAAAAACCCAGCTAACATATGACATGGAAGATACTGTTTTCCAGGGTCAGATTTTGGTTTCCAAAATACGAAAGAGAGCCGTGGACAGGGCAGGGATGGCCATTAGGGAGGTCTGGCCCCATGGCCCACTGTCAGGGGCTTCATGACCTACAGGTTGGGAAGTAATGCTCTGTGGAATGAATCCTCTCCTGCAGCTAAGTCTCCAATGAACTTGTGCCAAGGGGACATTTCATAAGAACATAAGAGAAGCCAATGTTGGATCAGGCCAGTGGCCCATCCAGTCCAACACTCTTCCAGTCCAACACTCTGTGTCACACAGTGGCCAAAAATACCAGGTGACATCAGGAGGGGCCAGGACATTAGAAGCCCTCCCACTGTTGCCCCCCCCCCCCAAGCACCAAGAAGACAGAGCATCCCTTGCCCCAGGCTGAGAGTTCCTACCTATACCTTGTGGCTAATAGCCACTGATGGACTTCTGCTCCATATGTTTATCCAGTTCCCTCTTGAAGCCATCCATGCTTGTAGCCACCACCTCCTGTGGCAGTGGATTCCATGCGTTAATCGCTCTTTGGTTGGAGAAGTACCTCCTTTTATCTGTTCTAACCCGACTGCTCAGCAATTTCATTGAGTGCCCACGAGTTCTTGTTTTGTGAGGAAGGGAGAAAAGTACTTCTTTCTCGACCTGCTCTATCCCATGCATAATCTTGTAAACCTCGATCGTGTCACCCCTCAGCCGTCGGTTCTCCAAGCTAAAGAGCCGCAAGCGCTTTAACCTTTCCCCCCGACTGTCTTAACTAGGAGTGCCCAACAAGCTCTTTTAGAAAGTGATCAGGGCTGGGTGGGGCTTTTGCCCAGCATGGCTTCTGATTGGCTACTGAAGATTCCATTGGCTGTGCAAATTTTGCTTTAGCCGTGTGACTGGAGTTACACCATGGCAGTTATTTTGTAGCGGAAGCTCATGCACTTAAAATGATCACTACGTCCAGCATTCATCAAACCAAACTGTTATTTTCTTGCAGAACGCGGATGAAGCCGTTATAGCGAAAGAACACGGAGCTGCGTTTGTAGGAGGGTACGAATTAGTTAAGCCCGTAAGTAGCGAAACGTAAATCAACCACTGTAGCAACATTTTGCACTTCAAAGTAGTAGTAGAAATAGTAATAATAATAATAATAATATACTTATGTATTTATTACTATCCCACCTTCTTTGGTATTCTTTCTTTACCTTACTTTTGTATATTACTCTTTTTAATGTCAATGCCTATCCCACCTTTCTCTCAAAGCAGCTTATAACATCTTTCTTCCCTCCTTTCCCCCCCCCTCAGAACAACACCTCTGTGAGTCAGGTTGCCAACTCCGGGTTGAGAAATTCCTGGAGATATGGGGGTCGAGGCTGGAGTGGGCGGGGTTTGGGGAGGAGACAGACCTCAGTAGGGTATAAGGCCACAGAGCCCACTCTACGAAGTAGCAATTTTCTGTAGGGAACCGATCCCTGTGGTCTGGAGATCAGTTGGGTAATTCCAGGTGATTTCCAGCCCCCACCTAGATGTTGGCAACCGACCTGTGAGGTAGGTTAGGCTGCGAGAGAGAGAGTGACTAGCCGAAGGTCACCCAGTGAGCTTCCATGGAAGAGTGGGGATTTGAACCCGGGCCTCGTAGATCCTAGTCTGATCCTCCGGCCTCAATTCCACACCGGCGCTCTCTGACTAGCCTGGAATTGGGTCTTGCATCTTTTGACCTGATCGTACATTTGCTCAACAAAGCAGATGTAGCCTGGATTGGTTGATTTTTCAAACCGAGGCTAGGTGGCCCTCTGACGGCAATGCTGGTTGTGTGAGCTTAGGCAGATCATGAGAGGGAGGTCAGGGAGGGTTGCCTCAGTGCTTAGTTCTTGTGGCCCTTTCTTACACGCCCAGGGAAATGCTGATCACCACTTTGGGGTCAGGAAGCCATTTTTCTCCAGGCCAGTTTGGCTGGAGATCCTGGAGGTTTTTTTGTCACCTTCTGGGCATGGAGCAGGGATCACTGGGTGTGTGTGTGTGGGGGGGAGGTATTTGTGAGTTTCCTGCATTGTGCAGGGGGTTGGACTAGATGACCCTGGAGGTCCATTCCAACGCTATGATTCTTTGAGTCTCTGATTTCAGTGGACAAACAAATAGTTCAGTGTTGGGCTTTCTCAGCAGTCCACTTTATTCTGGATCGAGGTGTCTACTGCCCGACTGGAACCGCGTTAGGCATGTTTGTATAAGGACGAGGCTGCTCTTTCAGTTTGTATTAGAAAAGTGTCTTGGTTTTCTAGTACAATCTAAATATTGACATGCTTTTGACAATTCTGCAGCCAACAGGAACAAGATTGGAAGGGGAGAAATTGTAACCCTAAGAGCACAGCCAGACATCTTCTGCCATTCTAGAGGGAAGGTCCTGTGATGTACTGTACAGTCTAGGCACTCTCTGCAGTTGCAGAGGGAAGGTCTCGTAATGTTTTGGGCAACCTAGCCCAGTGCGTCTGTAGAGCAGAGGAAATACAGGACGTCCTCTGCTGCCTTTTATCTCTTTGTCCTGAAATGGAGAGTGTGTAAAGTAAATATTGGCCTCGGCTCTTGAAAGGGAGTGGAAGCCACTTGGCTCTGCCAAAAAAAAGCAACAAAAGCGATTTTCTGCATTCAAATGAGAACAAATGGGTTATGCCAAAAAGGAGTTTCTCCATTTTGCTCTTGCATTAGCCAAACTCCATCAGAATTCTACTAATGCTCACACCACGCCATCTGGAGAAATCCTTTATTTCGTATTATTTAGCTGTTGGTCCCCGACAGGGATTTATGTACAATATAATTAAGCTGGCTTTATTCTCGGTGTTTTTATGGGTCTGAAATCTGTCGTTACGGTCCATAACCATTGAAAATTATTTCTAGTGGTTATGATCTACGGTATTGGCAATAAACTCTGAAATGAATATAGTTGTTGTTTCGAGAGGAATCTTTCCCCCTCCTTTCTACGGTGAAAGGCAGTGGCCTGCATACGAGGAAGGGGTCCTTCTTAACTGTATCTTAGCCGAGGAGACTCTGCAGTGGAGAGGGCCGTTCTTGAACCTGCCCTAACTTATTCTCAGGCAAAATCCTGATGCTGAAGTTATCCCAGTGTGGCAAAAAGTGTTGGGGAAGGATCTGGTAGACCCAGTTTGAAACTTCCCACTCTGCCACAAAATTCCCTGGGTGACCTCGGGCCTCCCTCCCTCCCTCCCTCCCCCTCTCCTCTCCCCCCTCTGCCTAACCTACCTCACAGGGCTGCTGGGCGGGTCAAGAAGAAGAATAGCATGTCGCATGAGCTCTTTGGAAGAGGGGGAGAATTTTTAAAAAATGAACTGGTGAGACTCAGTTTGGCACGGACTCTAATCTGGGAGAACCGGGTTTTATTCCCCACTCCTCCACATGCAGCCACTGGTGTGACCTTGGGTCAGTCACAAGTTCTTTCAGAGCTGTACTCTCAAGTGCAGCTCTTGGGAGAGCTCTCTCAGCCCCACCTACCTCACAGGGTGTCTGTTGTGGGGAGGGGAAGGGGAAGGGATAGTAAGCCGCTCCGAGACTCCTTTGGGTAGTGAAGGGTGGGGTATAAATCCAATTTCTTCTTCTCCTCCTCCTCCTCCTTTTAAATAAATCCCATTGTCAAGCAATTGCAGGGCTTTACTCTGGCTTCAGCACTGGGGAGAGTGCGACTCGCACATTCTCAGCTATATTCACTTAATGGGGTTGCTTGTTTTTCTTCTATCTGGCAGGGAGCGGACTATGAAGAGAAATCTGTGTATGTCTCTCCCCCCCCCCCCCCCCCAATGCTGTGTGTTAGAATAATGCGATCACAAATACAGACGTAAATTGTGATGGCTCCATCCCTACTTTAAAAAAAAATTATTTTGGACTATCCAGATTGCAGATGGTGAAATCCAAGCAGATTTTTATGTCTCTGTGCCTCCAATGTTATCGAAGATTAACAGTTTAAGGAGCGTACTGAAAGACAAGCACCCAAAGTCTAAAAACGGTAAGAGTCTCTTTCCCCCCCTCCTATTTGTTCCCTTAAGATTTAAGGGGCATATCCCATGTTACATGACCCTGAAGAATGAACCATTAGATTCGAGTCCAGTAGCACCTTATGGTCGAACAAGAATTTCAGGGTGTGGGCTTTGGAGAGTCAAACCAGTTTGGTGTAGTGGTTAAGTGCGCAGACTCTAATCTGGGAGAACCGGGTTTGATTGCCCACTCCTACACTTGCACCTGCTGGATGACCTTGGGCAAGCCATAGTTCTGGCACAGCTGTTCTCTCAAGGACAGTTTCTGTCAGAGTTCTCTCAGCCCCACCTACCTCACAGGGTGTCTGTTGTGGGGAGGGGAAGAGAAAGGTGTTCGTAAGCTGCTCTGAGACTCCTTTGGGTATTGAAGGGTGGGGTATAAATCCAATCTCCCCCTCCTCCCCCTCCTCCTCTTCCTCCTCCTCTTCTTCTTCTTCGTCAGACTTGGGTAAAGTAGAAAGGGAGATCTCTGAGTCCTTTTATCCAAGTCAGAAAGTGGGAGGGGTGTTAGAGTCATAGAACCATAGAGTCGAAAGGGCCTTCCAGAGTCATCTAGTCCAACCCCCTGCACAATGCAGGAAATTCACAAATACTCTCCCACACACACACACCCCCAGTGACCGCGGATCCATGCCCAGAAGATGACAAAAAACCTCCAGGATCCCCAGGGCCAAACTGGCCTGGAGGAAAATTGCTGCTGGACCCCCAAGGTGGCAATTGGCATTTCCCTGGGCGTGTAAGAAAGGGCCGGGGATCCTGTTGTAAAGCATGCTTGTAAAGGATGCAAAGGGGCCATGCATATTTTAATCAGCTTGATTAGAGCAGAGGGGAAGTGCTTGGGGGGGGAGGCAGGAAATTAGCCCGTGTAGTGAGATAAGAATCCCATGTCCTTATTCAGCCCTGGGGGGAATCCATTGTTCTGATCTTGTGAATTAGTTCAAGTTCAGCAATCTCACACTGTAAAAATGAAGTCCTTCGGGGAGAATCCCCCATGAAGTTTCTACATGGGGCTCATTTTAGCTGCCTGTTGTCCACTGTTCAGTCACATCATGGGAATGGGGAAACATGGACAGACAACAGCGTCCTCCCCACTTCTAATGCAGGTCTTTCTAGTGTGCCCCCTCCTCTCTGCTTAGTTGTGCTTGGAGCTGAGTGTGTATTCTGGCCTGGAGTGGAGTGGAGGGGAGGGGAGGGCCCATGGACCCCGATCACTACTGACTAGGGAAGCAGCCCCCCCCCCCCCCCCGGGGCCCTGTGAGCTGTGGTTGTTCTTCACTTTAGCAATGTCTCGCCTTGCATTTTGGGATGCCGTTTTGTTTTCCAGGCATTGGTCTCCCGACTCCCTCCTGCATTGATTAGGGTCTATTAAAATTGTTAGCATTGCATAGCGGTTTTACAGTATTGAGCCTAGAACCTTCCCAATGAGGGAGGGAGGAGTCTGAGACTTTTCAGTTTAGAAAATAGACGATTAAGGGGGAGGGGGCATGATGGAGGTTTATAAAATTATGCACGGGGTGGAGAGGGTGGACCAAGAGAACATTTTCTCTGGCTCGCAAAACACTAGAACTGGAGGGCCTCCAATGAAGCTGATGGGCAGTAGATTCAGGACAGACAAAAGGAAATACTTATTTAAACCAAGAGTAATTAAAATGTGGAATTTGCTGCCCGAGGATGTAGTGATGGCCACAGGCATAAACAGCTTTAAAAGGGAACTAGATAGATTCATGGAGGATTAAGTCTTATCAGTGGCTACTAGCCCTGGTGACTGAGGGGAACCTCCACATTCAGAGGCACTAATCCTCTGAATCCCAGAGCCAGGAGGCAACATCAGAAGCAGGTCTCGGCCTCTGTGCCCTGTTGTTGGCCTTTCGGAGGAACTGGTTAGCCACTGTGTGAGACAGGGTGCTGGTCTGATCCAGCAGGGCTCTTCTTACGTTCTGGAGGAATGAAGTCATCAATTTTATGTTGCGGATGGTCAGGGGGCAGTGCTTGAGGTATTAAAGTAACTTTCCTTGGGAGAGGCAGATGAGACAGCAGCTCCTTTGCATTTCCAGAATGCAGTAAAATTTGTATTTTGTAGTAGAATTGTACTGGCTGCATTTTTTTCCTATTGTTTCACATCGGGTTGGATTCTGCAGATCCATTCTGTTAACAGCGATGGTTTCATCTGACGCCAGGAGCATCAGCAAAAACGTCTTTGCGCCAGAAGAAATCACTGCTGGTATCAGGCCAGGTCTGCCGAATCTAACGTGTTGTTTCAGATTTCTTTTTGATTCTGTGATTTTGAGCATACGCGTTACGCAAACAATTGTTGTCTCAGGTGCTAAAACAGAGAAAGGGGATGAAATTTTTCCGAATAAAATAATAATGCAAAATTATGAATATTGCATAGCTGGAGGAAGCGCAGAAAAGGGCAACCGAGGTAATCAAGTGGTTAAATTGCCGTTTCGACAAGGAGAAGATAAAGACTTTGGGGCTTTTCTGTTCAGAGAAAAGACAACTAATGGGGATATGACAGAGCTCTTTGAGATTATGCATGGGTGTCAGACTCCCAAAGCATCAACAAAGTATACACTTTGCAAGAAAGGTTTTACTTTATTTGAAGCTATAGGTGCATAAACAGGATCACTGTTCAGAATGAGGGGTAAGCATGGAGCACAATGGATTATTTGTTGTTGTTGTTGTTCAGTTGCACAGTCGAGTCCGACTCTTCACGACCCCATGGACCAGGTCACGCCAGGCCCTCCTGTCTTCTGCTGTCCTCTGAAGTTCACTCAACTTCATGTTCGTTGCATCTATGACACTGTCTAACCATCTCATCCTTTGCCGTCCCCATCTTCTTTGACCTTCAATCTTTCCCAGCATCAGGGTCTTCTCCAGTGAGTACAATGGATTATAGTACATTCAAAAAGCTGAGACCCAATTGCGGGACTTCCCCCGCGCGCCTTTGGGCCTGGGAAGCAACACTTCTAGATAACCATAACATCTTTGCTTCTCATGGAGTGTACCATGAGATCACCCAAGCAACTATTCGGCAGCAACCACCTGTGGCCTTGAGAGATGCGGACGTTCCTGCTACTAGGCAATTAAGCGCATCAACAGGCATACATGGGAAAGTGAAAGCAGACGAGCGCATACATAGGAAAGAGAAAAATAAACCATTTGGCAGCTTGCTGACAATGGGGTGGAGAAAATGCTTAGAGAACTTCTCCCTCTCCCGTGATGCTTCAACTCAGGGTTTTCAGTGAACTTGATGGTCCATAGATTCATGGTGGACAAATGGAAGCGTATTCCTCGCTCAACGGGTAATTAAATCATAGCCACTGGACACAATGATGGCCATGAACACAAATGTCTACAAAATGGCACTAGACAGATTCAGGGAGGCTGGTCCATTAATGGCCACTAGCCATTCTGATGACAGAGAAGCTCCGTTTCTAGAAGCCTGACCTGGATAGCCAGGCTAGCCCGATCTCGTCAGATCTCAGAAGCTAAGCAGGGTCAGCCCTGGTTAGTTCTTGGATGGGAGACCACCAGGGTTGCTAAGTAGAGGCAGACAATGGAAAACGCATCTTGCCTGGAAAACCCTACATGGTCACCATTAGTCAACTGTAACTTGATGTCCAACCCCCCCCCAAACAATCAAAAAGTTCTTAGCTTCTGTGCCCTGTTCTTCACCCAAAGAGTGATTAACACATGGAATTCCCTGCCACAGGAGGTGGTGGCGGCTACAAGCATGGACGGCTTCAAGAGGGAATTGGATAAGCATATGGAGCAGAGGTCCATCAGTGGCTATGAGCCACAAGGTATAGATAGGTACTCTTGGTCTGGGGCAAGGGATGCTCTGTATTCTTGGTGCTTGGGGGGGGGCAACAGTGGGAGGGCTTCTAGTGTCCTGGCCCCACTGCTGGACCTCCTGATGGCCCCTGGTATTTTTGGCCACTGTGTGACTGAGTGTTGGACTGGATGGGCCATTGGTCTGATCCAGCATTGGCTTCTCTTATGTTTTTATGTTAGTTTGTTGGTCCTCCAAGGGAACTGCTTGTCCACTGTGTTAAAAGGGGGTCCTGGGCAGTGTTCCCTCTAAGCTGAGTTAGCGTGAGCTAGCTCACCGTTTTTTAGCCTCCAGCTCACACATTCTTGTCTTCGCTCAGGAAGGAGGGCTCCAGAGCAAACTCATTTATGCAGTAGCCAAATCGCTCGGTCACAACTTTAATGCCAGTAGCTCACCAAGTAGAATTTTGCTCACAGGACTCCACAGCTTAGAGGGAACATTGGTCCTGGGTGAGATGGTCTGATCCAACTTCGCCCACCTTAAATTCTTATATATTGTAGGTGCTTCAGGTGATTTGTTCACAGGTGTAACAGTGAGGGGGGGGAATTCTAAGTTCTTCAGGGCTTCTGGGTGTCTCATGAAACAGCTTCTCTTCTTCAACCAGGATCTGACTTGCGGTCCTCTTTTAGTAGCACATCAGGTTCTTGAGGAATCTCTAGTGTGAGGACTTTTAAAAAAGAAGCAGAAGAATCCTGTTGCCCTTAAGGCGGCAGGGGGTCTTCTTGCTCAGCTCTGGAAGGCTGAAACAAGAAGAGCATTGTTGTGTTTCCTTTCTTGCCCCAGCTGTCTGCACAGCGTGTTCGCAGGCAACATCTTTGCGCCGTGCTCTTTAAATACATGAGATAAATTACTGACCTGTCAGAAGCGTTAGAGGGTAACACGGCAGATGCGTGCCAGACCCAGCGAAGACCTATATTTAACGTAAAACAAAGGTCTTTCCAGTCCCCCGAATGCTCAGCACGGATTGCGTTCCCCAAAACCTGGTGGGAGGAGATGGGGCGTGTCAGGGGAGAATGAATGTTTTAAGCGTGGGGGCGGGAGAGGTTGCAAATGAACCAACCCAGCCCTTTGAGTCGGTTTTCTCTGTCTCTGCTGAGATGAGTGGGAGGAATTGTGGGGCAGGCATGTGAGCAAAAG